TGGAACGATCGGCGTACCCCATTCAGAATGGTCTATTTTTGTAATTACGCCTATTTTGCAAAGGCGATCTATTTCTTCATCTACTTTCGGTTTAAGAGCGTAAGGGATTCTTCTAGGTTTTATAAAAATTGGTTGTGTGTTCTCTTTTAAGTTAAGGTGTGCCTTGTAGTTGGGAATTTTACCAAGATCAGTTTGGAATACAGAAGATGCAAATTCCTCCAACAATTGGTCTAATATATTATTTTGAGGTACTGATTCAACTAATCGAACATCTGCTAGTTCAATGTTTAATTCTTTCATCCAGCTTCTACCAAATATTGGATCAACATTTTTGTCAATAATATACAGTTTACCATAGAAATTTTGGTTTTTGTAAATTCCTTTGATGTAAACGACTCCATAAGGTTTAATTATTTCTCCGGTGTAAGTTCTCAGTTTCATATCAGTTTTGAAAATCTTTTTATTAATATTCAGGGCATTGTAGTCGGTAAGGGACATCGATGACAATGAAGCACCCGTGTCAAATTCCATCTTAATTGTTCTATTTTCTATGGTGATAGTAATCATATATCTTTCTGTGACTTCACTTTTGATGAGGTTAATATCAGCTATGCTTTCATCACTTACAGAATTCAAACCATCATCAATCTGGTTCGTCTGTGTCCGTTTCAAGCATACTCTTGCCAGATGTCCTACTTTTTGACATTTTCGACATGTAGAGTTGATTGCTCCGCATTCATTTGCACGATGATCAGGCTTCCCACAGCGAAAACATTTACCTGATAGGTCTTTAATTGACCTAGGTGATTTTCGATTCATATTCTGTATCGCTGGTTTTTTATTAGAACTGATTATCTTGTTGATGCAGTCAGTACGTTTTTCAATATCAGATGTAATTTTTAAGCTCTCTGTTTTACCCAATTCATTTGCTGAAGCTATTTGTAATAATTTAGTAAAAGAGGATGTGTCCGGTTCTTGTAATATTTTCGTACGAATTTCGCCATCTTTAAGTCCTCGTATAAATTGTAGAGATAGGAAGCTCTCTGCGGTAGTTTTCTTGCAATTCATGCATTTGAATTCACAATTTGATGAAAGTTTCTTAAGTTCTGATGCGTACATTGCAATGGTTTCATTTTCTTGTTGTATTCGGGAAATAAATTTGTGTTGTAGAGCCCAAACGCTGGGTTTAGGGTCGATATACTCGTCCAATATTGCGGTAAGTTCTTCATAAGTTTTATGTAGTGGATCATCTGGTGCACATAGATCATATAGTTTCTCATGAAGTTCTGGTGGTAATGTAGATAGCAGAATGTATATTTTTGTTCTAGGCTCAACGATTTTGTTTATTAGAAAATATACCATCAATCTCTTATTAAAATTTCGGAACGACTCTTTTTCGTGTAATGGTTGAAATTGTAATTTCGGTACATGTCCAGTTGCAATGTTTGTAATCGGAGCTGTATTTAGTGATTGCTCATGAATAGATCTATTATTTGTACGTAATTTCAAAAGTTTCGTTTTTAAAGTAGTACATAATTCTTCTATTTCGTACCTTTGTTGAATTTCCTGTTCTAATAATTCCTCGTCCACTTGAGATTCTATTTCTTCTTGTGTTTCTAGTAATTTTTGTAATGTATTTTCCAATGACTGTAGTCGTGATTCAATCTCTTCGTTACATTAGTTTTCATGCAGGTTTAGGTAATTTTCTGTTCTTGTAAGGGTTCCTCGTAGTGCAGCTCGCACTCTGGTGTAGTTTTTATTTGAAATCGGCATCCTGTCGCCAATTTATTACATAAAATAATATGCTTTGATAAATATTGAATGTTTATTTACATGACTATGTCATAACAATGAAAAACACGCGTTGCTAAGCAACCATAAAGAAGGTCAGACATGACATTCACTAATCTTTTTCTTACTAATGATTAGGCCGCTTCCAACCGCGCAGGTCGAAAATATTTGCAAAATCGTCATGAGACAACACCGACATGGCCAAGTGGCTAGGGAGTTGAACTCTCTTGATTCCGTTTCCGAAGTACTAGTTTCCATTCCCAGTTGGACTTGAAACATACAAAGCATTAGGTATATTATGCCTAATTTGTTGTCAGTTTGGTCAGGTCAGGTCTGTCTTGAATCAAAAAGAAACATGACGTCATAGGACGTACGATTTAGCCATATCCCATATCAGAGAACTGGATTCTAAAATTGGAGACTAACATTTCTTTTTTTTCAAAATAGCTCTTTTTTCCAAGTAGGTACATAAGATGCTATAGAGCTTCGTAATCTATACGTTGACATTCATGCAGTAAATAGGCACAATAAAAATCTGCCCTCTAGACTTGTCGTCGAAATAAAATTAGACCTAGCTGCCCCTGACGTCATTCCCAGTCCCCTCCCCCATAGAACTTAGGGATGAAGAACGCAATTTAGACTATGACGTCATACCAGTGGCTAATAGGTCTTGATATAGTTTTATTTCTAAGCTGAAGGCTGGAGGTTTTCATAAATATCAAACGGTTTTAATTTGGGCAGGTACACTCAGGTACAGTCACGAGCACAAAATGTACACATTACGTTTTATTCCACTGTAATAAAGTTTAAATTCCAACGGTGTATAAGATTTATCTGTAACTATGACTACAAACTAAAAAAAATGCTTTTTATGCACCGCAAACTATGCGTCACATACGTTAACCTTTTGGATAAATAGTGTGTGGGTGTTGAAGGTACATCAAGGTAAACATTGTTATCTTATGTAGCCGTAATAGGTTTTAGCATCTAAAAAGTAGTCTGGGCTGCACATTAGGGTGTCCCGTCGTTGTATGGGAAAAATTTTTTTTTGAGCTACGGTTACGCAAGAGGTATCAAAAGTTGCGTTTTGACATATAGATTACGATTAGCATTAAATTTAATGAGATATCTGTCATCTTGAGGCCTCTACCTGTCCTTAAAAAAAAATTAAATTGCTATTTTAGGAGTTTCTAACATAAACTATTAATAATACAAAAATAGCGTTTTTATGAAATTTGAGGGTACACAATGAGTCACAGCAAGGTTTAAAATAGTTTAAAAGCCAATAAATCCATAAATACTTTCAAAACAGAATTGGCTTTTTGACCAGAATTAGGTATTTACGCGCGCGATTTTAATGTATTCCTAATTAATCCGTGGGTCAGCCAAGTTATCGATTTAATTAGAAGATACTCAATTCCCTTCTCACAGCAGGTTAATAATTTTATTACGCTATTATAAAACAATGATTGGCATCTCTAAGTGGAAGCTAACAAAAATGGCAGTAAATTTTAGAAAATCAACCATAACTTGAAAACCGTTTGTCCGATTTCATTACTTTTTTATTTAAATGATAGCTCTACGTGTGCGCTTAATATTTTGTGCTATAAATTGTATCGATAAAATCAACCTTTAGTTAGTAATTAAAGGAAAATTGATTTTTTTTACATTGTTGAGATACTACTTTTTAAATCATTTTTTTACAAAATGTCTTATACTCTACTAAATGTTTTACAGGATCCAAAGAAGTGTATTAAATTGCCTTTAATTTGATATGTAACATGTATGCGTTTCATAACTAAAAATATATTTTTACTTCCGTTGAAGTTCACCATTAATAAAAAACTGCGTAGACAACAAAAACTTCAGCTAGAAAGTGTATGTAACGTACATAAATGTTATTTATATTTAATAGTATGCTAAAACTATTTAACATGTCAATTAGTATTCTGTTTAAAATAATATTATAAAGATTTTTGGCTAGGTAGTTTTTACCTGAAAAAAATCAAAAAGTATATTACTACCATATATTGCTATATTTTTGTTAAATTTATGCTAAAAGTGTGTAATATTATACCAAAAAAGTGCGGTGCGATACCTTACAGCAATAAAACCTCAACAGAAATAATACCAACAGCCTCGCCGAAGGAGTAGAAAATTTGAGAAAAACAAGTCAAAATATGAATTCTGCTAGTTCGAACCAAACCTATTTAATTGCAAGATTTATCCCATACTAACTAACAAGCGAAGTGCTTGTAAAAATGGTACGCATATCTTTATTCCGACTAGTTTTCTTAGAGTATTATACCATTTTGGAATCTTGGATAGTTGCGGCAACTTTATAAAAAACTTGCCGCAGTAGTGTTCATACTGTTTTATTACAAAACGACGAGTCAAAGTGGAGTGAAAGTAAAAATCGTTCAAAATTTTAAAGAAATATCATATTTTGATTAACTTTTGTGTAAAAACTGCAAGGATTCTGAGGGTTTTAAGAATTGGAGAGGACAGCAGCACTACTTAAGTTGCCGATACAAACAAAAAAACAGAAGTATTTGAAAAATTGTGGTCGTGGTAATGTAAAATATCATAAGAGGTGTCAATTTTCGACGAATTTCATAATTTATTGTGTAACTTAAAAAATAATTGAGATAGATTTTTTTTCTTATTTTTCCTGAAGTAGTCATGACTATGTCCATCCTGCGGCGCCGGCTTATCCTTGAATTTTGGGACACGTTGTATATATATTTTGTATTAATTTATATTATAATATTTTATGTATTATATTAGATTTTATTTTTTTGTATTTTGTACTATTTTGCACCGCCTACTTAAATTCTCTGTTTTGTTTAATTTTCTGGTTAGCTGGAAGAGAATGCCACATGGCATTAAGCTCGCCTGTTGTACCACTGTATTTTTATGTGTGCAATAAAGATTTTAAATAAATAAATAAATAGATCATAGACTTCTGTGTAGCATTTTAGAGTAGGCGCACACCGTTGATTTTTCGTCAGCCGATAGTTTAGTCGGGCAGTTGATCAGTATGGGCATGTATGGGAGTGCTCACACTACGCCGATTCGATTTGGCCGATTCTTCATACAATTTAAAATCGGGCACAACTATCGGCCAACTAAAAATCAACGGTGTGCGCCTACTCTTAGAAATGCTGTCTTGAACTGAGATAATGGTTCGTCTCCACCTCAGATCATAGAAAGAGAAGTCTCCACCAACGACGTAAGTGTTTATGGTATTTTGGAACTTATTGCAAACTATTTAGATCATAGACTTCTGTGTAGCATTTTAGACATGCTGTCTTGAAGTGAGATAGGTATCGCTAGAATTGTGCAAGTAGGTATGAAGACCTCTTTGCGAGAGGAGTAGGTTAGGGTCCGTGGCCGAGTCCCCCTGTGTTCGACGCACCCGTGGTCAACGCCCCCGGTCAGATAGAAGCAATTTTTAATCAAATGTACAGTCAGTCACAAAAATATTTATAAACGATTAAATATTTATACTGATCGTACAAATAAATGTTTAATAATATTAATTTACCATAGTGATACCTAAAAATATAACAGGTTTTATTTTAACCTATCATATTTTGTCATAGGTTTTATTTACCTATAATAACATGTAAATCGTTTTACCTAATCAAAATAATTGTAACAACCAGTCTTTAAAATAACTCTACTCTCTCTACATTTAACTAACTACAAATAAAAGTTTTAATTATAAAAGTTTTAAGTATTTTTAACAAAAAAATAAATACATCATTTTAAATAGCGTCAAATATGCATGGTTTTCGTTGACTGTACTTAGTGCAAAAGCCGAAAAAAGTATGATAATAAATTTATTTAAATCGGGGGCTTCAACCACGGGTGCGTCGAATACTGGGGGACTCGGCCACGGACCCGTAGGTTAGGAGGTAGGTTTTAGGAGATCGAAAGAATTTTGACATTATTTAGGAGGTACCTACCTTCGTATTTTGTTCGCGTGATTTGAATTTATTTTAGCTAACCGCGATGTGACACAATTTTTATTCTTGACGACTTCTGATTTAGTTAGTTACCACCTGTATTTAACGTACTCGTACTACACGTACAGTGTCGGTTATCATTGTGATGTGCAGCGCCATTAGACTATATTTATTTTATTCGCAAAATAGTGCCTTGTTGTATAAACACAGCTGAAGTTATTTAGCGAAACCTACGTGGGACGTGTGACATTTTCAGACGAGTTCATTGTATCCTACGCGCTGGATTACTCTAATGTAAGATACGGCAGTAGTAGGCAGGTAAGTAACCGGCAGAATACACTGCCGTTTATAAGGGGTTAATGCCCGTTTTCACCATCGGTCCCTTATTTTTAAGTGACACCTATGGTAACACTTAACAGGCATTTTGTTTTCATAGGGGTCACTTAAAAATTAGGGATTGATGGTGAAAATGGGCATAAGACTTTTTAAATTGAAGTCTTACTATACAAAGCCTCACCTCGTAAAGTGAGTATCTCAACCTGCGCCTTTCTCATTCCTTGCGAGGTGCTTTGTAAGCCATTCGTGTAGCTCCTTAATCCTGGCCGGAGTACCAGGCTCTCATAACTCGGTGGGAGCTTAGCATAATATATTTCGTTATCTGCGGCGAACATGCCGCGACGTCACGTGCGTGTCGTTAGATCAATTTATAGCAAGTGACGCGATGCAAATGTTGGCAGGGCGCGACAATCGGGGGTAGTTCATGAAGATAAATTGTGTCAAATTTCTAATATGGAGAATGGAGATACTTGTCTTGAAATATACGCACAGTGCACCTTAATTTAATAAGTACTTTAAAACTTTACAAAAGATTACTGAACTTTGTAACAAGATTCTAACGATTGTCCGGTGTTATCAGTTGAAAGCAAACAGTGATTCTGCTCGTAGCGTAGTTAGTTTCTGTCCATCCACTAGCTCAAATGTTTGGATACGCGTCTACTAATTTAATAGCTCCATCTATTTTAGCCGGGATGGTTTTAGCTAGTTCCCTTTACCAGTGTGACGTCATTAAGCAGGTTAATATTGACGTTTCTGTAGACTCCTCAATTACTCTCACTACGGAATAAATATAGGTAGCTCCCACGAAAGATTTTGTATGAATGAAGCAAGCAGCATACGTTTTTGTTAGATGGGTGGTTTTCAGATAAAACTCCACTGACTGCTCTTAAAAAAAACCCTGTCACATTATTTCAATTTATTTTTCTAGTTAACGTATCGACGTAAATTGGCTTGTTGTATTAAATATAGCATGTCGATGAATAAATGCCTTCCTTCATACGAATACGAGTATGTATTGACAAAAATGCTATTTCTACTTGTCCTTTTGCAGTTATTGTTTTAGTGAAATTCCACGAATATCGAAATTAAAAATAGCATGCAGTCGGGTTTTTTTGGTTTCAAACAGAATATCTGCAGTATCACCGCTAGTTTGTTGTTTTAATATTGGAATTTTTCCGTTCCATACTTTGGGCGATATTTTAAATGAAAAATTCCGTTATTAAATTCCTCTGTGCTTTTTAGTCGGAAGTTGGATAATGAATATTCAGGCGCGTGGTCACGCATAGTTTGCGGTAGTTCGCGCGGTTTTGTTCGGCATTTTGAATGCGCGCATATTCGGAGTCTCGCGCTGGTGGGTGGGTGCATGGTTTTAGCGCATAAGAACAAAACTATTTGGTGTATTTCTCAGACAGCGGAAACAACTTTTTTTTATTAAATAATGATTGATAAAAATTGGAGACTACAAGAGGGTGTTAGAAGTAACAAAATTGACAAGAAATAAAATATGTTATCAATCATGCTATTGGATCTAACATTCCAAGTTTAACACATGAAACAAGATTAATAAAGCCAGACTACAACTCATAGTGAATTCTATTCAATGAATGTTATTCAATAAATCCAAACTTCGAAATGTACGCTCCTCGAATACCTATCTCCTAATTGAATTCTTGTATAAGACGGTTGGTTATCGAGTAAAATATTCGAAACCTACCTATATCAGGTCTTGTAGATCTCCTATTTCAGATCTAGCTGTCACCGTCACTCCTGCTAACTTCTCGGTTTGTGTGAAAGGAATGGCTACAATCGAAACTTAGTATAACGTTTTTCGGAGTAACCCCGTCTAGGCGTAAATCGGTTAAAAATAGTTCCTCTTACATCGAAAGTTACAAGTTGAAGTCTTGAGGCGATCTCGAAAGTTGAGAACGTTCTTATCGGCGGCCAAGCGTGGCCTCTCCTAGCAAAGTTTTCTTTGTAACGCTTATTACAGTGGAAACAGGAATTTTCTGCTCAAAGGTTTTCTTTGTTTAATAGTTTCTGAATTTGTTTAATAGTTTCTTTGTTTAGGTAATAGTTTCCTCTAGCTTCTATTCAATTTTATTACTATCGATTTTTTGCAAAGTTAAATAATGAAAGTAAAAGTACTTAACGTAGTGGGAAATCTACGCGAGCCACTAAAAATATTGTAGTAGGGTACCCCTACCTGGTTACCGTAGGTGCCTTGTTTAGAGAAATTATTATTTTTATCGAATAACTTTGATTATCACATATTAAAAGTTAAAAGTACTATGTACTGCTACAAAATTAGTTCGTTTAAAACTAGCTCGTATGTTTTAAAACAAGCGCTAAACTCGAAACTTTGTCGACATGAGCGAACATTTTAAATTTTAAATATTTCACTGAAAATGGGTAAATTTTCTCAAATGCCCCAAAAAGCGGAGGTCCCGGAATAATGCGCAGGGGCATGTATAAACAGTAAACACGTTTGCGATGGTCCGCGGGTCTCCACGGCTAATGGGCTCGGCGGTGGAAGCTAAGCGGTTAATTTTGAATTAGGGGCCATTTTCACGTCGTTAGGGGCCAGAGCTTAATTTTTCATAATTTTATGCTAAGCCAGCTTCAATGTTTACCTAATGTAGGTGTGTTAAGTTAATAATAAGAAGACTGAAAACCTAACGTAACAAATGAAACGAAGTTATTTTAGTCTTAGGCCCAGAACAGACGGTGAAACGCAACTGCCACGAAACTGCAACTGCTAGTTACTTTAGAGTTGCATCTAAGTTTCTGCCATAGCACCCGTTGAGAGACCACACATGATGCGACCAGTTTGAAACTTTCAGTTTCAGTTTCATTCATAAGAATCATCAGAAAGTTGCAGTTTCGTTGCAGTTGCGTTTCACCGTCTGTTCTGGGCCTTAGACTTACTCTAGATCTGTCACGTGTCGCTCACGGGTGACTTCACGCATATACAAGCTGTGTAATTGAATAATTAACTACTCTTTTGCGTAATTACCTAAATCAATCTAGAACTTTCGTACACGTCTAGCTTGGTTGTTCATTAAACACGTTCTGTGGGCTGAGTGTGAGTTATAAAATGTATGAAAATTTTAGTTTTTGAACGTTTCCCGCTAGGGGCGCTGTACAATCCGTCATACATTAAGGCCCAGAACAGACGGTGAAACGCAACTGCAACGAAACTGCAACTTTGTGATGATTCTGATGAATGAAACTGAAACTGAAAGTTTCAAACTGGTCGCGTCATGTGTGGTCTCTCAACGGACGCTATGGCAGAAACTTAGATGCAACTCAAAAGTAACTAGCAGTTGCAGTTTCGTTGCAGTTGCGTTTCACCGTCTGTTCTGGGTCTTAATGTCATTTTTGTGAGCGTGTTTGTTATAAACTCACACTAGGCCCTCTGTATACTTAAAATAATGATCAAGTTTATGACACGAAGTATAAGTAAGTCGCAAAACAAGAGATGAGGCCATCAACATAAGCAAAGATTTGTGTCAGTATACGCTGTTTGCGACCAAGATATTAAAAAGAGCGAGGTAGCTAATGTACCTATATGTAGAACTTGAAAAAAAAGTAGTATGTTTGTGTTCGGTATTCAAATATTACATCAGTATGAGTACGTGTTCGCCTCAACTTTCGTTGAGCCACCTATAGCAACTTTTAATTCAAAATGGATATTGTTGCAGCCTTTCGACAAATGCTACATCGGCGCCACCGCAGAGCTGGACGAGGAGAGGGTGTTCTGCGGACAAATGGCGGCGATATACCTGTTCGGGGAGGCACTCACCACCCACCAGATATGTGCCATGCATAGGCTAGGACCCGGATATAAGGTAAGAAGTTGGTTCGTTTACCTGGATGATGTATTTTTGGCAGTAATCGGATTTAGATCATGTGGAATTAATAGAATTAAAACTGTACTTAATTGAACAGAGAGGGATATCGGTTATAGTTCGCAATTTATTATACAAATTGATTTAACTGCTACTTGAAGCCAATATTTCTCGGATTCTAATTAGGTGGAGTGCGTGCCAGATTTTATATTTTTTTCTAAAGTACGGCCCCAACTAGCAGCGATACAAAAGGTCGATACGACTGTCGAGTTGACAATATATTCTGTCTCTTCTCATCTTATGTATTTGTCGTAATGTCTCGTTCTCCCGCCAAAATATGTCAAAGTCAGACGGGTTCACCCATGACATTGGGTTTGTTTACATTTGGTATCGCTTCTCGTTGGCCGTAGTTTAGTGAAAAATCAAGTCTTTTTAAGTCTATTTAGGATTTAGCACAACTGCCAAAAATATAACATTTTAGCAATAATTTAAGATAAACTAACATATCGATATGCCTTTTTTCTTGCTAACCCTGGACACAGAGTCAGTTTCGATTCGACAACGAATGCAACATCAGTTTGCCGGAGAACCACAAAAGGGTGAGCGAGTCCGCTCCCGCGCTTGAAAGTGCTGATTCCCCCGACCCTGAGACCTCTTCCCTATCTCCTGATTCTCCCCCCGAGCCCGCTTCGCCAGACGAAGATACCAGGAGCGCAGATACCAATGAAGCATGCGTAGTTGTGAAGGAGGACGCTACCCCTCGAGGAAGGCGCCTGGCTGACGAGGCGCGCGAAGTCGCCGCGGCGCATGCTTCCCTGCTCGTAGATATTGAAGCATGCAAGCGTGTAAGCATGGCGCGCCGCTCGCTCTTATCTAGTTTTTTTGTACATTTGTCCTGCTTTTGTATTGTCTGAAACCGACTGGTCACACAAGTTTAAGTGTACCACTCGGATTCCCAGCACTTTGCCACAATTGTGTGAATATTTTAACACGTGTCCGTTTGCTATTGTCCTTGTGGTGGCAGGGTCAGTTCCGTTTCGACTCCGAGTGTCAGATTCTGCTGCCGTCCACGGATATCCGAGTAGACCGCTTTGGAGAGCTCATCTACGACCCCACTCAGAACACACACGACGTAAGACATTCGGCGATGTTTTTTTGGGAAAAGGAACACCGGTGATACTCTCTCTAATTCATGGTGTACTGGTACTAATCGACAGTGTTCATTAATATCTTGAGCTTATGCAAATCTTGCATGTCGGGTTATTTGTACGAACTGGCAAATTAATTATATTGTAACAACTTGAGAATGAAGACGTTATTTTGCTTAATACTAAACAAGGAACGTTTAATCCCCAAGAGAATGGAAGCTCAAAATACGGCTTATTATCTTTTTAGTTAATTCCATTAGAAATTGCGTCATTAATTCGGTTACGTAAAATTGTTTTAGTTAAAAGATGACGGACGAAGTTTGTATAACGAGGCTAGTAATTAGCATGCTAGAGTTTATTTTAGTATTTGGAGCACAAGCACTAACACTTTATTCTAAATGTTTAGATTAAATTATTGTTAGTAATCATACTATTTTTCGCACTCAGTCTGTAAATGTCAGCTCAATAAATCCTCTTGTCTTTTGAATTGAAGAGAAACGCCTTAAACGGTTCTGTCTCAAAATATTTATGACCCTCGGATCTATCAAGTTCCTTCAGCTCTAAATAAACAAATAGCTCGGGGTTTGAAGAAAAACAGCTTCAAAGCGATTCTGTTTTAAAACAATTTCCACTTAATGGCGGGGACATTAGCACGACTAGGAAACAAGAACAAACAAGGCAGTGGCTGGCGCCATTTGCGGAGTTTACCCTTTAAACACAAGTAGTAGGCAAGTTTGGGGCAACTCCGGATGCCGGATGCGCATTGTTGGGTCAGCTGCTTTGCATGTTATAGTGCCCTGGTACGTACTGAAAACTTGGGAATAGTTGCTTTGGGAAAACTTAACGGGAGACATGTTTCATGCACTTTGTGAATTAAAAACCTTCTTTAACTCAACCGTACATTAGGTCAGTAGTTGAGGACTGTATTTTATACATTTGCTTGTAGCACGACTAAAACTCGACAAAAAACAAACAGGTGCATAGAACGCAAGCAGTCTCATTGCATTTGTCACCGACGTAGAACATTTCATTAGTAAGCTAATGTTTCTTCGTACACACTTTTCCTAGAAGCTATAAAAGTTGAAATTTTTAACAGCCATTATATCTCACTTGCAGTCACACACGGATTTTTGACCGTAAATTACGAAATAGAACTCGAAATGATTAATGAGTATCTCGCAAGGCTTCCCTCAGCCTACATCAGCTCGGAAACAGGTGGATATTTACGACTTTCCTTACTTTTCCCTAACCAGCCAGACGGGGCCTTTAAATATTTATTCGGCTTCGGTATTTCTTACGTTGTATTTCGTAATCAATTTGGAGTAACATATTACTTCTACTTCAAACTCCTGAACCGTTTTGCTGCTACTAATACGTTAAGGTTTAGAAGGGCCACAAATCAATCTGACAGTATTCAAAAGCAAAGTCGACCCTATTTGGTCGCCCAAAAACTTGGATTTTCTTTCTAATATTTTTCCCGAAAATTTTATTGCTGTTTACGAGTCAGTTAACGAAATAAAATACTTCTCTCGGACAGAATGAATTCGTACAATTTAAGGTTCGCGAAACTTCTTCATTGGTTTAATTTGCGAGTAGCCCCGAACTTCTTTGACGAGGCCAATCTCTGATTTTCCGCGTAAAATCTAATTTCCTCAAAAAAAAAACTAGTTAACTTCAATTTTTATTGTTCGCCCGCGACCGCGGCAGACGTTAAGGCGATTAGAGTCCTCAATGACCTTGGGCGTTTGACCTTCACGCCGCGAGCAACACCCGCGTACCCCGCACCAAAAACTCCGATTTGACACCGATCAAAAATACACGGGCATAGGTAGATACAGAATAGAACCTCTTTCTTCATACATTACTGCCTATTATTTTAAACTTAAATTGATGAACCTTGATGTCGGTGTCATTTAACTCAGGCGTAAAGGTATTTAATAAAAATAACAAAATCCATGAACATTTTGTACGGGATAAAATTTTATTTTATTTTTCGTAAATTTTCTAATGTTTGAAATTTGAATGAAATTTGAACAAACCCGACTTTATTACAAGCTTTTATTTAGCTTGCAATTTATGATGTATGTAGGTAATTACCTAAATGTTTGTTCGGGTGGAATCTTGCAAGCTGAATTAGTTAGACCAACTTCCTGACGACAACTAGGCTAGATGACAAAATTTCAATTATTTGTCCGCTAGACAGATAATTAGAAAATATTAGACTCATATTTTTTATTTTCNTTCTGTTTAAAATAATATTATAAAGATTTTTGGCTAGGTAGTTTTTACCTGAAAAAAATCAAAAAGTATATTACTACCATATATTGCTATATTTTTGTTAAATTTATGCTAAAAGTGTGTAATATTATACCAAAAAAGTGCGGTGCGATACCTTACAGCAATAAAACCTCAACAGAAATAATACCAACAGCCTCGCCGAAGGAGTAGAAAATTTGAGAAAAACAAGTCAAAATATGAATTCTGCTAGTTCGAACCAAACCTATTCCTCACTGAAAACAGTCTGCCATTGCCTGCAAATCATATCTTAGGGTTCAACTGCCACTGTTATTACAAAATAATATGAAATAATTGTGGAAAAAATATAATAGATGATAAACAGTGAAGGGCTGATTAAGTGATTTTTTGAGACATAAAAATGCCGGTAGAGCCCTTAAGACATTATTTTATATTTTTTTAATTATTTTTACGGTAATCTACATCTTATGACGCAACTTTTGAGGGGTCTTGTGTAGCGAAAATATAAAAAAAGATATTTCGGGACACCCTACTGCACATTATTAATTTTGTTGATACCCAAAACCATAACTTGGATTGGATACAACAGTGATACTCAAAATGCAGTCTGCCCTGACTTTGTAACTAAAGCCTAAGGTTATTTGTTGTGTAACATAATAATTATGTATTAGTTGTGGCCAGAGCAGGCGAGCACCCCTTTCATGGAAAAACGTCTATGTCAATAAAAAAGGTTAAGTGCTGCTGATCTAGACCCAATTCCCTTTTCCCTAAGCGAATCATCTTGTTAATTGAGCTGTGTACAGTCACTCACATTTGATAGACGTTAAACTTTATTACAAGGTACTAAGGTTCATCAAACAGGAATGTTTCCACCGTTGTACAGCTGTCCATCGCATGGCAATTATTCGCCAATCCAGAATGTACTCGCATCTCTTGGGGGTCTATTTTGCAATTGACTCAATGTTTCTCTCTGTCATTCACATTGTGATAGGTACTGGCGTGAGAGAGAGACAGAGTATTCACGTATGTCCTGCTTTATTACAAAGGTAGGGTTGACATTTAGAAAGAGGTGTAATTTGAAAAAAAAATCTTTATCGCCAACCCTACTGAAAAAGACCTTGATCTAACGAAGCTGCATAATCTGTACCAATTAATTAAACATTTCTATGATTGTCTAATTTAGACTGTTCAAGGTTTGCTCCACCCACCCTCGTACCCTTTAGGTGCAGAAGGTCCAGGTTGCAAAATGTCCAGGTCAAAAAAGGTAAGAAGGTTGGGCCGGAGGCGACGTGCTTTTGCGCGTCGTCTCTGACACCTAGTCAAATACTAGTCATAGCGTAAGGTCCATTATGAGTGCCAGCGGATAGACCTTTACACCTACCCGCTGGCCTCCATTGTATATTATGTAAATATAGATAAGCACTTTGTACATTTGTATCATTAATTTGTATATAGTTGTATATCTCCGAGTGGCCAGTGGCAGTGCAAAAAACTGTCACTGTAAAATAAAAGATGGCGTGGTCGAAGATGGAGTCTGCACGCATAGCAGACGGTCTGCGCATAGGTGGAACATGTCGGGAAAGGCCTCGCTACACCGGCTCCCATCTATGCTCAGCGAGACGGAGATGGTGGATTTTTAGTGGGTAGGCCCCTCCCTTCTGGAGGGGAGAGCCCCACATAACCCGTCGCCTGACCACAGCGGCGGGTATGCAACTCAATGCATTTTTACCACCGAAAAAAAAAAAAAAAAAAAAAAAAAAAAAAAAAAAAGGTCAAAAAAGGTAATAATTGGACCTGCTGCGCCTAAAGGAAATTTAGCTTTTGCTACTGAAAAACAACTGAACACATTTTCTTCAATCGTCGGTTTGAAGTAAGGTTTCGAAAGTTGGGTTTTCAAAAGTTAGGTTTTTGTAAGTTAGGTTTTGGTAGAGTTAGAAAAGTAAATGAAATGAGACTACTACATGTGTCACCAAGGCCAAGCCTAGGTGACAACTGGAAAGACAATTCCCAGGGAAAACATGTCAAAGTGATCTTTACGATTGATTGATTGACACATTTGTAACGATCTTTATTTCCAGCGCTAACATAATTTCTCAATGATACAGCTAATAAACCGGCTGGGCAGCGTTCGGGAAGCTTCGCGAAATTCTCACGTCCGAAATACCGCAGTGTCTCAAGTCAAAAGTGTTTGACCAGTGTGTGTTGCCAGTGATGGTGTATGGCTCTGAGACGTGGTCGCTTACTATGGGCCTCATAAGAAGGCTCAAGGTCACCCAAAGAGCGATGGAGCGTGCTATGCTCGGAGTTTCCCTGCGTGATCGAATCAGAAATGAGGAGATCCGTAGGAGAACCAGAGTGACTGACATAGCCCGCAGAATCGCTAAAATCAAGTGGCAGTGGGCGGGGCACATAGCTCGAAGAGCTGACGGCCGCTGGGGCAGGAAAGTTCTTGAGTGGCGACCACGAGCTGGAAGACGTAGCGTGGGCAGGCCTCCCACTAGGTGGACCGACGATCTGGTGAAGGTCGCGGGAAGTACCTGGATGCAAGCGGCGCAGGACCGGTCTTTGTGGAAATCCTTGGGGGAGGCCTTTGTCCAGCAGTGGACGTCTTTCGGCTGAAACGAACGAACAGCTAATAATGGATTCAAAAGGAAATGTAACTGATACGAGTATTGCTCTGTTTCGTAAAGCAACTTTCATGAATTCCTGAGTATTTTATGGTTGTAAAACTGTATAATGGCGGTATAACTCATACTACTATGTACTACTATTAGAAACATAGATACAATGATCGTTTTTGTATCGTGTGGGCTGGGACAACCTGGTTAATGTTATGATGATTCACCATGGGCGTTCGCTATGGCTTGATCCATCATGGAGTGTTTCTTAGATCGCTGCTGTTACAAGCAGCGATCTAAGAAACCAATGTCCTCTTGTCAATACCAACCATATAAAAAAAAATCTTTTGTATCTAGTCAGATGAACTAACCGATACTCCCGAACTGTTTACTTGTGTCTTGTGTCAAATGGACTCCCATTTGCATCTCATTGTCCCCCAATAT